GAAATGTATTCCTTATCTTATTTTTAATAAATTTGTTGTTTTGTTTTTTAATTTTCTTATAAAAATTGACTTTTAAATGGGGTTTTCAGATTTTTTTTTTATAATTTTCGCATAATTAAAAATTCTTGTTTCTATGCAACTCACATTAAGTATACGCCAAGTGGCTCGATATAATTGTGAGCTCTTTACATCAGAGCTCGCTCTGCTAGCCAAAAACAATATTATTCCATGCAATTGTCTTACTTTACGCCTATTTAATACATAAGCACTCATTGTATGAACTCTGCAGCTAAATAAAGCTCATTAGTCACAGTTCTTTTGGTTTGCATATTGCGCATACGCCGTGTCGGTTGCAGCAGGCGCTGCTGGAATTCTAATCATTGTGGTGCGCCCTGTGCTGGAATTTGTTGAAAAGAATGCCATGCCGTGCCAGGCAGCTGAATTTCCTAATTATATATCTTTTTTCCGACCCATTGCACCGCTCATATGCACAAATTGAGCAGCAATCAGAGCGCACTTACGGCCAATAGGCCACATGGTCGCCTGGCAGAAATCAATCATAATTATTGTAAATCAACTGAAATGGCAAACCATTTTCGCATTTGCAATAAAAATGCATTTAATTGTTAACATATGCAGTCACTATATAAATATATATTTATTTACATGTGGATAAAAATTTTAAACGAAAATGTTTTAATTGAATTGAAGGCCTGACATTGGCGGTAATCAATCTACCAATCAATCAATCAGCGCGCGTGATGAGTGCCAAATAAAGCGAATTATTTGCAAGAGCAGAAGTAAAGCATCAGCCATACAGAGCCCGCATAGTGCCTTCATATCCGACTCTCTGTCTCTGTCTCAGTCTCAGTCTCTCTGTCTCTCTCTGTGGCTGTGTGTTTTGCATAATAATGCCAGCCCTCGCTTACTCAACTTCAGCCGGATTCAGCTCGCTGCTTGGCTGCTACGTGCCACAGCAACTGATCCTGACAGGCTGGAGGTATCCATTTCGCAGTCAACCGCAGCACAATTACAAATTAGCGAGTGTAGCCAACTTGGCACCAGCCGCAACGTGGCCTGTCGATTGCATGCACTGCACATGTCTCCTCCCCCTACCACCAGCCCCACTCAGGAATGCCGGCATAAGCCGCAGCTCCATTTACCCAATGTTCCATTCTCCCGGTTTCATTTTTTCTCTTCTCTTTTCGCTCTTCCGGCTGTGTGCGCGCACATTGAAATTTG